ATGGCAAAAATGATGGAAATATGGGACTAATGGGAATAATGGTGGAAATCATAGGAAAATGTGGAGATTTTGGCACTGGAAAAATGGAGCTTGAAGCGACAAAAGCGACATGGTTTCTCTTGATCTGAGGTTTTGTCCAAGAATCGTTGAGAATGGACAGAAATTGGGGATCATCTGTCTGGCAAGACCTGTTTTTGTTTGTGGCTATGTAAGATCTAATTGTTGAAACCATGAGAATGTAATGGGAATGTAGTGGGAACATCATGCCTTCGCTCCTGATTGTAGAGCATACTGTTAACAAAATTGTATATATAACCAACAAATCTGAGAATGAATCAACGATTTTTTGAGGGGAAAATTACGGTTCAAGAGCCCATTTTATGTGGTCAAACAGTTTGGGTGTCCAGTTTCAAATCTCACTTCAAGCCAATGACATCGAGACGGACCGATCAAAGAAGGAAACCATTGCTTTTACCATCAAATATAAGGATACAATGCTCTGGTAAACATACAAAACGATGGAAAATCACCATGTTCTAGTTGGGATGTTGGGTAAATGGTAAACGTTTACATAACTAAACGGAAAATCACCATGACGTCACCATGCTTTTAATGGGTAAATCAACTATTTCTATGGCCATGTTCAATAGCAAACTGTTTGTTTACCGGTAATGTTTTCCTGCACCAATTCTACTGTGAAATTCCATCCCAATGAGGGTGCCAGCTGGTCAGACAGAACAACATGTCGAAATGAGACAGTGTGACATGATATTCAAATGTATACAATGTATACATGTTATATATATATATATATAGATATGTGATGATATGTGTGTGTGTAATTAGTCATCATTCAATATCATTTAATATAGCATGTCTCTGTTTATGACATAATTTGAAATTGAATGATATCGAATGCATACACAGGGACAGCAACAAATCACGCACAAATTTTATAACCGGCTCCTCCGAACATGCAGCAGTGGTGTTGAGCTGAGTCGCAGTTGATGTCACGCTGGATGTAGGCCAAGAAGATCTCAGGAGTGCCTGACAGCCCCAGGGCACCGCAGAGCTTGGACCGTTGCTTAGTGGTACTGGGGTATGGTACCAACTGTTCAACCTATATCCAAGTATCACTTCTTAGTGATACAAGCCACAAAAACACGAGTTTGAGGTGACACCACGATGATTTTTGTAGTCACAAATAGGCAACTTGAACTTCCACGGTGGTCATCAGCATCAGCTTCAGACCCCAGTGCTTATGTTGAACACTCGGCTCAAAGCGGGGTGTTCTCTGCACTGGCAAATATATAGCCATGTTATCACGTCGTTCCCATTTCTTGAAAAAAATGATGAATCCATGTAAATATACGTATATCCATCGATTTTGTTGATTTAAGTTGCCCAATCTGCTGTTTCAAATCCCTATCGTTTCTTGGTTGGATAAAACCATCATTTTTTGTCATAAAACAACATGATGATAACATCCCTCTAATTTTCTGGGTCATATCATCAATTCCCCCTGCTTAGAAAGCCAGAAAATTAGAGTCTCTTTTGGGGGATGGTCCATATAATCTTTATGATGTATCTTCATCCATTTTTTGTGGCTCCCAACCTGTTGGCAACTCTTCAAGTGCATCCACCATGGTCGTGGGAGGTTCCACCACCGCCATGGCAGGTTCAACTTCTGCAGGTCTCAACTGCTCCTGCCGGGAAAATGCCAGAAACTCTCGAGTTGGATCTGTTTCATCAAGTCTCATTTCAAGGAATAGCCTACAGATTGTAGATTTCAGGGAAAACACAGCAGGAAACCATGGATTTTAACGTTTTAACCTTTGGAAATAGGGATGAGTCCCGGCCAGCACCACAGCCCCGCACCTGCTCTGTCTTCAATTTGGCCCAGCCCGACATCCAATTCAACGAGGAGTCCATGCGCTTGGCGACCTTCCTGGGGGGTGTGAACAGGATGAGTGATTTGTTGAACTACTTTTGTTTGAAGGTGACAAGGAGACTTGATGACATCTTTGGGGATGTGCAAAACGCAGGCTATTGGTGAAAAGTGTAGACCGGTTGACCCAAGGATGCACCCCACTTTTTAGAATTTCGTAAGCTTCTATAACCAGCAATCAGGAGTTCTCCTGTATATAAGATGCGTCACCCCCGCTGAAATGCCGGGAAGTGTCTTCGTCTTCTTTTCTCTTTGCAAGAGACTTAGGTCGGACACCTCCCAAGCACCACCAGCGCCAAAGCTGTGAGGTTGGAGGGATGATAATTGTGTAATTACGCTGTATTCAGTTGTATAAAGGTATTGTCCGCTCCCAGAAGATCCAGAAGCACAAGAACAAATTCTCACCATGGAACGACCCGAATGGCGCATCCTGGACTTTCAACCAGCGAACCATCGCTTCCTTGCTACCCGTCATCTTTTCGCTTCTTGGTGATTGATGTGTGAGTTCACGAAATATTTCCAAGGGCAACCCCACAATCCTTTGTTGCCTTAGATTCTTGTTGGATACGTTCATTAGGATAAGGACACCTCAAGCACCGAGCAACGCCACAGTGATGGTCCTGAGCAGTTTCATCAATGAGGTATTGCAACAGTCTAGAAATATCCAAAGATAACATACAAAGGGTGTTCTATTTTCTATAGCGGTTCCATGGGGTGAAAACAAGTTAAATGGAGGCAAAACCACCCGCAACTATATTATGGTTATGGGTCAAAACCCGTCAAAACCGTCAAAGTTCTCACCAAAACAGCTGGGAATTTTACGGATGTTCATCCAACAAAATCATCATATTGATGGTTATATATACCCTCTGGTTATTTAACATAGCCATGGTATAGATGGCCCATAGAAATAGATGGTTTACCGATAAAAATGGGGATTTTCCATGGCTATGTTAAATAACCAGAGGGTATATACAATATATGATATATGTATTATACAATTACGATATACCGGTATGTCCTCTCCATTATACCCCCATTTTTGCTGGTTAAATCTCCATCAAATATGCTACCGGTTTTGATCATTTTTGATCCATATGGTACCATCGGAGCAGAGTCCTATTGAAACCCTGTCATTGCAAATCAATGCCTTGGTCTTTGCAAAGCTCTTGGTTTTCTGCTCCCGCTGCATCTCCGACCATATCCTAGGTCGCTTGTTGTTGAGCGGTGGTTTTCTGACATGGCCACGTTGACTCATGGAACATCGTCGATAGTCAATCTTCCAGGTTGACTTCCCTTGAAGCTTGAAGTGCAAGAAAAACACCTAACAACTCTTGAGACACTGAATATTTGGGGCATCTAAATCCTGTCACGCGTTTAGAAGGTGGCAAGTCCAGAAATGAGGCCCGCAATGCTGGGTGACCATGCATGGTAACTCCAAAAAGTGATTGAAACTATGGTCACTACCAACTCAGAAGTACAAGCTTAGATACTCATCTCGCAAACCCAACAGTTGTTGCTGGGACATCCATCATTAGATATCTGTAGAATCATCCTGTAGATGATATCATGCAGAAAGTACAGTGACTTGAAGTCGTGTTTCATCACAGCTGGATATGGCGACATCATCTCACCACATCTCCAAGATTCTCATCCATATCAGCCATGCCAGGGAAGGGCGGGAAGTACTGTGGTTTCTGCTGTTGTGCCGAGCTTGTGGGAATGTCCCGTCCATCAGATCCCAAGAAATGGAAAGATATCGATGTTTCAAAGGGGACACGTTGGAAGATCTGTCTTGCAGCCTTGCAGGTCGTATTCAAAAATGTCTGCTATTTTTCTCCATTCAACGTAGAAATGTTAAAAATGTTGACATTTCAGTGGACAGCAACTGTTACTTTTGACCATTTAAATGGTATTTTGCAAAACCAAACGCAGTCAGTGGCTGTCATGTCTGTGTCGACTTCGGAATGTCTGTCCTGATGATCCTGAAGGTAACAACTGTGGCAAAGCCATTTCAACGAAACAGTCCATTGCTCTATATATAGGTTTCTATAAATGGAGGTGTACCCCAAAAACGCTGGATGGTTTATTTCATGGAAAATCCCATCTAGAAATGGATGAGTACCCCTATTTTAGGAAACCTCCATATAGTTCTAGCAGGGTTTTTGTTCAAGATTTTTTTTAATTCACCCTCAACAACCCCACGATATACTATATACTGTACTGGTGTAAGATTTTGAAATCACCCAGTTCTAAACCCTTCGTGCTTTCTGTTGTTTGGCCTCCACTTATGCGTGTCAATACTTCCTTTTTCCCACTTTTGGCATGGGGCATCCAGAATAAAAAAACTCCCGATTCGAACCATTTGGGCGCCATTATACCAACTATAGGTCGCATACCGAATAATAAACCACAGATTGGGAATGGTTTTTTGTTGATTCTTGGGGATGCCACAAAAACGTTGTGATCGCCATTCCAGGTCGAAATTCCCAATCTATCTATCTTTGGATCAAAAAAAGATCACAGTGCATTGGGGCATCTCACAAGTCACAGGTGCTCTAGATCAATCGAAGATGATCATGATTAAACAATATTAAACATGTAGGTCTCGCACACTCAGGAGCAAGCAGACTGTCCGCCGCAGGAGTTGACTTTTGAACGAGCTCTGCTCAGCTGAGATCTCTAGAATTCAATGCGGAGTTCAAAACCCATCTTCTTCTTTTCCTCGATCACTTGCTTCAACGCCTGGCTGTGCGCAGTCCCCTTTTCTTCGCTGGATGGCACTATGATGTCCCCCACAGCGCTAGCCCACAGCACCCTCAGCACCCTTCAGTCAGGGTCAACAGAATCTGAACCTCAACACCAAGAATAAGCAGAGGCACCATGAGCAGCCACTTGGAATCCCGGGAAAGGCCTGCGCTCCCTCATCTCCGATGGCATTCCAAGACAGGTCAATGCTTGTCACGGAAGTGTTCGTCATCAAAGCTTCAGCCAGTGCCTGGCCGAAGGGAAAGCGACTTGGAAGTAGATCAAGGCTGACATCCGTGAGACCTTGTGAAATACAAATGAGACACAACTCTCAGTTTCCGACTCTGAGTTTCCAAAGAACAATTCCCACTGGATTCAAGGCAAATGTCGTTTACAGAGATGCATTTCCAGCCAATATCATGCCAATATCATGCCAATATCATGCCAATATCCCAGTAGAAAGCATACCACATCATACCACACAGAATGAGTTCAAGTCAAAAAGAAATTCACCCACTTCACTGACAGTCAACTAAATTTGAAAACCTGGAAATGCGAAGGATGAGCATGAGCAAACTACAAAGCCTTCCAAAAAGCTGGCGACAAAGACACCATGAGCAGCCACTTGGAATCCCAGGACACAACAGGCCTTCGCGCCCTCAACACCGATGGAATTGTCATCCAGGTTGATGTTTGTAACGGAGGTGTTCTTCTTCAAAGTTTCAGCCAGTGCCTGGCCAAAGGGAAAGCGACTTGGAAGTAGATCAAGGTTGACATCTGTGAGACCTCATGAAATACAAAGGAGACACAACTCTCAGTTTCCGACTCCGAGCTTCCAAACAACAATTCCCACTGGATTCAGGGCAAATGTCGTTGACACAGAGATGCACTTCCAGCCAATATCATGCCAATATCCCAGTAGAAAGCATACCAAATCATACCACATCATACCACATCATACCACACAGAATGAGTTCAAGTCAAAAAGCAATTCACCCACTTCACTCACAGTCAACAAAAATTGGAAACTGGAAATGTGATGGATGAGCATGAGCAGACTACAAAGCCTTCCAAAAAGCTGGCGACAAAGACACCATGAGCAGCCACTTGGAATCCCGGGACACAAAAGGCCTTCACTCCCTCATCCCCGATGGAATTGTAACGCAGGTCGATGCTTGTCACAGAAGTGTTCGTCTTCAAAGCTTCAGCCAGTGCCTGGCCGAAGGGAAAGCGACTTGGAAGTAGATCAAGGTTGACATCTGTGAGACGTCATGAAATACAAATGAGACACAACTCTCAGTTTCCGACTCAGAGTTTCCAAAGAACAAATCCCACTGGATCTAGGATTCAGGGCAAATGTCGTTTACAGAGGTGCATTTCCAACCAACATCATGTCAATATCCCAGTAGAAAGCATACCAGGCATACCACATCATACCACACAGAATGGGTTCAAGTCAAAAAGAATTTCACCCACTTTACTCACAGTCGACTTAATTTGAAAATCTGGAAATGTGATGGATGAGCATGAGCAAACTACAAAGCCTTTCAACAAACTGGCGACAAAGACATCCTGAGCAGCCACTTGGAATCCCGGGACACTAAAGGCCTTCACTCCCTCAGCGCCGATGGAATTGTCACACAGGTTGATGCTTGTCACGGAAGTGTTCATCTTCAAAGCTTCAGCCAGTGCCTGGCCAAAGGGAAAGCGACTTGGAAGTAGATCAAGGTTGACATCTGTGAGACGTCATGAAATACAAATGAGAGACAACTCTCAGTTTCCGACTCCGAGTTTCCAAAGAACAAATCCCATTGGTTTCAAGGAAAATGTGGTTTACAGAGGTGCATTTCCAGCCACATATCATGCCAATATCCCAGTAGAAAGCATACCACATCAGACCACACAGAAGGAGTTCAATTCAAAAATAGGTTCGCCCACTTCACTGATAGTCAATAAGATTTGAAACCTGCAAATTAAATGCGAAGGATGAGCATGAGCAAACTACAAAGCCTTTCAAAAAGCTGGCGACGAAAACACCATGAGCAGCCACTTGGAACCCCACAACACAAAAAGCCTTCACTCCCTCAACGCCGCTGGAAGTTTTACCCAGGTCGATGCTTGTCACAGAAGTGTTTGTCTTCAAAGCCTCAGCTAGTGCCTGGCAAAAGGGAAAGCGATGTGGAAGTAGACTAAGTAGATCAAGGCTGACATCCGTGAGACCTTGTGAAATACAAAGGAGACACAACTCTCAGTTTCCGACTCCGAGTTTCCAAACAACAATTCCCACTGGATTCGAGGCAAATGTCTTTGACACAGAGATGCACTTCCAGCCAATATCATGCCAATATCCCAGTAGAAAGCATACCACATCATACCACACAGAATGAGTTCAAGTCAAAAATCAATTCATCCACTTCACTGACAGTCAACAAAAATTGGAAACTGGAAATGCGAAGGATGAGCATGAGCAAACTACAAAGCCTTTCAACAAACTGGCGACAAAGACATCCTGAGCAGCCACTTGGAATCCCGGGACACTAAAGGCCTTCACTCCCTCAGCGCCGATGGAATTGTCACACAGGTTGATGCTTGTCACGGAAGTGTTCGTCTTCAAAGCTTCAGCCAGTGCCTGGCCAAAGGGAAAGCGACTTGGAAGTAGATCAAGGTTGACATCTGTGAGACGTCATGAAATACAAATGAGAGACAACTCTCAGTTTCCGACTCCGAGTTTCCAAAGAACAAATCCCATTGGTTTCAAGGCAAATGTGGTTTACAGAGGTGCATTTCCAGCCACATATCATGCCAATATCCCAGTAGAAAGCATACCACATCAGACCACACAGAAGGAGTTCAATTCAAAAATAGGTTCGCCCACTTCACTGACAGTCAATAAGATTTGAAACCTGCAAATTAAATGCGAAGGATGAGCATGAGCAAACTACAAAGCCTTTCAAAAAGCTGGCGACGAAAACACCATGAGCAGCCACTTGGAACCCCACGACACAAAAAGCCTTCACTCCCTCAACGCCGCTGGAAGTTCGACCCAGGTCGATGCTTGTCACGGAGGTGTTCGTCTTCAAAGCCTCAGCTAGTGCCTGGCAAAAGGGAAAGCGATGTGGAAGTAGACTAAGTAGATCAAGGCTGACATCCGTGAGACCTTGTGAAATACAAAGGAGACACAACTCTCAGTTTCCGACTCCGAGTTTCCAAACAACAATTCCCACTGGATTCGAGGCAAATGTCTTTGACACAGAGATGCACTTCCAGCCAATATCATGCCAATATCCCAGTAGAAAGCATACCACATCATACCACACAGAATGAGTTCAAGTCAAAAATCAATTCATCCACTTCACTGACAGTCAACAAAAATTGGAAACTGGAAATGCGAAGGATGAGCATGAGCAAACTACAAAGCCTTTCAACAAACTGGCGACAAAGACACCCCGAGCAGCCACTTGGAATCCCGGGACACAAAAGGCCTTCACTCCCTCATCGCCGATGGAATTGTCATCCAGTTTGATGCTTGTCACGGAAATGTTCGTCTTCAAAGCCCCAGCCAGTGGCTGGCCAAAGGGAAAGCGACACGGAAGTAGATCAAGACTGACATCTTTTCGAGAAAGGATACAATTCAATCATTGCCAAGTATTTAAACAAGGGTGGTCGTTCCGTGTCTAACCCAGTGCAAACCACATGCGGCCAAAATTGTCCAGAGAATCAACAGATGCGTATCCTGAAAATCTCGGTTCGACAACAGTACTTGGAACTGTTCAGCAAATGTCACAACGGCTGCAGCTTTGCGTGGGAACAGTGAACCAACTTGTGTCGAATCGATTGACAGAAAATGGACAGAAACAACGCTGCAGAACTGCCCCAGGTGGTTGTCCAGTCGATTTAGCAGAAGCCCTTGAGGAAAACTGAATTGAAACAATGGGACAAAATCCATCAATTGTCCTTCCAGAAAGGAGAACGTTGCCACCTTGCGCCGCAACACAGGAAACCTGCCTTAAGACGAACCGGTGCTTCAAAAGGGCGTCTGCCGGAGACTTGATCATTACTCTCCTGTTGAGTAGCATGCCACAAGACACAGAGATAAAATGGCAAGTGAGAGCTCATTTCGAAGAAAGTTGAACAAGATAAAATATTTGTATATCAAAGCAGCGGCAACGGAAAAACTCAAGCCCCTCCGCATGGTGATGCATGAAGCATGAAGCCACTCAGAGCCCCAGGCCTTGGCTCCGTCGTCCAAGTCATCAGCAGTGGTGTCTCTGACTGAAGTCTTCCTCTGCAGGGCGTCTGCAACAGCCTGGCTGAAGCAAAGCTAGGTCGAGTCAAAGCTCGCCTTTGAGATGCACGTTCCCAAGTGTGAAAGAGCAATCGACACTAGGCCCCTGAGAGCTTATATGAGAAGCTTTGGCCGCATGCTGAGACAACAACTTGAGACTCTGTAGATTAGTCCGGCGGCGAGCCAGCCAAGAAATTGACGCTGTGGGTTAACACCCCAAAAAAACATACACCTCAACTCCACTTCGGTCATATTTGTCATCAAGTCGTCAATGGTCATTTATGATCAGCATTTGCAAAACGTAAGAAAACTTGGCTCACCTCTGAGCAACCTGGACCAACCTTCGAATTGACATGACACTCACTTGAAGCTGATCTGGAAATGCTTCGAATGAAAGCATGTCAAAGAGACTAGGCCTGGACACATCACCAACAACCAAACTGAAGTCAAGCAAGCAACATCTACCCAGAGAGAACATCAGAATACTTGTGATACCCCTTGATGTGGGTTGAGTCTAAGCCAAAGAGCCCCAGAGAGCCCCAGACATCCGATACAGGCCAGGCCTGAGCTCCCTCGGCACCAATCTCATTGAATGCCAAATTCATGTCCCGCACGGAGCTATTGATCTTCAAGGCTTCCGCGAGAGCCTGAAAGAAACACAAGACATCAAAGATCCGGGTTAGCAACGGCAACAGGTAAAATGAATTTGAATAAAGAGACTTGGCTCGCCTCTGACCAACCTAGACCAACCTACGAATCGACATGACACTCACTTGAAGCTGATCTGGAAATGCTTCGAAGGAAAGCATGTCAAACAGACTAGGCCTGGACACATCACCAACAACCAAACTGAAGTCAAGCAAGCAACATCTACCCAGAGAGAACATCATAATACTTGTGATACCCCTTGATGTGGGTTGAGTCTAAGCCAAAGAGCCCCAGACATCCGATACAGGCCAGGCCTGAGCTCCCTCGGCACCAATCTCATTGAATGCCAAATTCATGTCCCGCACGGAGCTATTGATCTTCAAGGCTTCCGCGAGAGCCTGAAAGAAACACAAGACATCAAAGATCCGGGTCAGCAACTGCAACAAGTAAAATGAGTAAAGAGACTTGGCTCGCCTCTGACCAACCTAGACCTACGAATCGACATGACACTCACTTGAAGCTGATCTGGAAATGCTTCGAATGAAAGCATGTCAAACAGACTAGGCCTGGACACATCACCAACAACCAAACTGAAGTCAAGCAAGCAACATCTACCCAGAGAGAACATCAGAATACTTCTGATACCCCTTGATGTGGGTTGAGTCTAAGCTAAAGGCCCCAACATTTATGAAACAGGCCGGGCCTGAGCTCCCTCGGGTTCAATCCGGTTACTTGCCAATTTCATGTCCCGCACGGAGCTATTGATCTTCAAGGCTTCTGCGAGAGCCTGAAAGAAACGCAAGACATCAAAGATCCGGGTCAGCAACGGCAATTTGAATAAAGAGACTTGGCTCGCCTCTGACCAACCTAGACCAACCTACGAATCGAAAGCTGATCTGGAAAGGGTGTGAAATAGTTTTAGGTTTTTTTTTACTGAAGTCAAGCAAGCAACATCTCCCCAGAGAGAACATCAGAATACTTCTGATACCCCTTGATGTGGGTTGAGTCTAAGCTAAAGGCCCCAACACATCTGAAACAGGCCGGGCCTGAGCTCCCTCGGGACCAATCCGGTTACTTGCCAATATCATGAGCCGCACGGAGCTATTGATCTTCAAGGCTTCTGCGAGAGCCTGAAAGAAACGCAAGACATCAAAGATCCGGGTCAGCAACGGCAACAGGTAAAATGAATTTGAATAAATAGACTTGGCTCGCCTCTGACCAACCTAGACCAACCTACGAATCGAAAGCTGATCTGGAAAGGGTGTGAAATAGTTTTAGGTTTTTTTTTACTGAAGTCAAGCAAGCAACATCTCCCCAGAGAGAACATCAGAATACTTCTGATACCCCTTGATGTCGGTTGAGTCTAAGCTAAAGGCCCCAACACATCTGAAACAGGCCGGGCCTGAGCTCCCTCGGGACCAATCCGGTTACTTGCCAATATCATGAGCCGCACGGAGCTATTGATCTTCAAGGCTTCTGCGAGAGCCTGAAAGAAACACAAGACATCAAAGATCCGGGTCAGCAACGGCAACAGGTAAAATTTAGCATGGTGCTCTAACACGTTTTTGAGGGGTCTCTTTAGAAGCACTTAAGGAGTATAATTTCAGTATATTATACTCCTTAAATTTTCAAATTATACCCCTTAAGGAGTATAATTATACTCCTTAAATTCTTAAATTATACCCCTTAAGGAGTATAATTATACTCCTTAAATTCTCAAATTATACCCCTTAAGGAGTATAATTATACTCCTTAAATTCTCAAATTATACCCCTTAAGGAGTATAATTATACTCCTTAAATTCTCAAATTATACCCCTTAAGGAGTATAATTATACTCCTTAAATTCTCAAATTATACCCCTTAAGGAGTATAGTTATACTCCTTAAATTCTCAAATTATACCCCTTAAGGAGTATAATTATACTCCTTAAATTCTCAAATTATACCCCTTAAGGAGTATAATTATACTCCTTAAATTCTCAAATTATACCCCTTAAGAAGTATAATTATACTCCTTAAATTCTCAAATTATACCCCTTAAGGTATACAGCATAATTATACTCCTTAAATTCTCAAATTATACCCCTTAAGGAGTATAATAAGGAGTATTATTATAATCCTTAAGTGCTTCTAGAGAGACCCCTCAAAAACGTGTTACAGCACCATGCTATAAATTATGGATGGACACTATACCAATTTCTAGTCTTATTCCGGGCAGAAACTGACGCTTGACAGTTATATATTATATATATATTATATTTTTGGGGAGTTGTTTTTTTGGTGGCTAAATGATACGATATCAGTGGTATCAGCTATCCATTCTATATTTCCCAACATTATGCACAGGGGGTTATTCCAGATTCCAGGAGTTTTGGTGTACATCTATGTCACAAGCTTCAACATTGAATGGGATGAGTAAGTGATAAATCATGTAATTATATTATATTATTAATATATTATGATATTGTGTCAAATGATATTGGCAACATGTTCTTGGATCAATGAAGAATGAAATTCCAATAGTGGGCAATCATACTTTGATCGCATAAGTTCGGATTAGATTGGTTCATGTGTGGCATTCAATGGCACCCATTAATTTCTAATCATCACCAATTCTTTTCCTCCGGGGGGGGGAGGACGACCAGTTAAATGCTTAGGTTTAATGCAAAATGAGACCACGGGATAATATAATATTATTATTATGTATGGGTTTCATACGAAGGGCCTGGAGAAAAAAGAACTTGGCAAATGGAAGTCTAAATCCGTTTGACTCATTTGGCATTCTGAACTCGTGGATTGCATATTGAATGATTTTTTTGCTCGAGTCATGACAAGGTTTGGACTGCAGTTGCAGCCATGGACGGTGAAATAGATTTGCTGGCCTTGCTTGACACCAGTCCATCTGAAGGACAACCATCTGATGTTGTTGATAGATGCTCAGGGGAATTAGAGCGTCCATCTTCATTTTCAGCTGGTTCAAATGAAGACCTTTCTGATTCTGATCAGCGCCCTTGTCATCGTGATTCTGATGCTGGTTTGAATGTTCGTTTACCGAACATGGTTGGCAAGATTGGGAGAGGCAGACATGGGGAGAAGAGTAGTCAGAAGATGCTTACGCTGCATATGCGTCATTGCAAGTCATTGATTCAGCATCCACATTTTAGAAGTCAGGTTGTGGAACTGTTAGATGAAAGTTCATTTCGAAAGGACGGGAAGCTCATCGGTGTGCGTGCTGAAATGACAACTTGTGGCGTTATTATCAAATTTTCTGAGAAAAATCGCACAGGCAATCGCTTCAAGAAAAACATACCATGGGGTGACTTTCTGTCTGCATGCTACGGCCGTTTCAAGCGAGATACACATATATCTTTAGCTTTGGACGTGTCAAGATCTACAGCAAGATTTATGTCACTGATGGTGTCCTCCGTGTATTTAGCTCAGCAGTCTGTCTTGCTTGGGAAACTTATTGGGCTTGCTTCATCCAGTGCACCATGCTTCTTTATCAGACATCTCAAGTGGGATGAGACGTCCCTTTGGACGTCCGTAAATGCTGATCTGGATGAGAGGAGGCGTGTGGCATCCTCATGGGAGGTGATGGTCGTCCGCCAACGCATCATTCTTGGCTGGATGGACGGTTCTGTGGCAATAATTCGACTTGTGATGCCTCCAGCTGTTCTCCTTTCAGGCTCTGCGCAAAATATCTACTACGCTCTACGGCACCATCCACTTCACAGAGCTGTGCAAGATCTGGTAGATCGATTGGGAGATCTTTGCTGGCACAGGGGTCTCGTCTTGGAGAGTGATGCTGCTTACGCGAACGACAGGCTGGTGGGATATTTGTTGCAGCGCAACAAGACTGATCCTCGCAAATCGCACTTGGTTCATGGGAAGTGCCAAAACCACCAGTCACAGTTTGTGAATGTATCATTGCTGTCAATTGCGGGGCACAATTTGCTATCACGAATGTATGGGCTTGCAGTCTTCATACGGAATTTAGGAAATTGGCTACGCCTGAAGCAGGCTCTCCGTTCGTGGGTGGAAGACACTTTGATATTTGATCAGTGTGTGATGGATGTGGGCAGTGGAGCTGAGCCTCAAAATTCGCACCACCCAGCCATTTTGGAGTTGGTTTCGTATCTTCGACACAACCGAAAGGTTGAGTCGCAGACTGGCGAAGGTTCTGCGGCATTTGAGCGTGCAGTTCATGATTTTTTGGACATGTTCAACAGCAACACAGAGCTGATGACTCCTTGCCACCGCTGTTCACATCATTCTGTACCACATCATCAGCGACACTGCTTCGATCGTTCCGAAGCTGTGAGAAAGTGCGTTGAAGCTCTGACAAACATGTTCCTCAATGCCATGCCGACTGTTCCGGCACCGAATAAGTGGACCACATTGTATCCATGCTTGGATCCTTGGCATTTCTATGGACCAAACTCATAGCTTCCAAAAATGATGGGATAAATTTTGATAAAATCAGTTCAAGTATTGAGTCATCATGGAATCATGAGTCATGAGTCATATTGTTTTTCTTATGTTGTTTAGTCCAGATTAAATAACTTAGGTCAATATCTATGAATTATGAAATGAATGAATCATGAATCAGATCCTAATGACCCAAGATTAGATAAATTGTCCATTAGCAGAAAATGTTTTTTTTGCTGTAGGGTGCCTGTTTTGGGGCTAAGTAGGAAGAACCGCACTATCCGGGGAAGGACAACATTTCTACTGAAAATGCGTTAATTGTTGAAATCATATGACGTGATTTGGTTTGATAATACAAGTCAAATCCTGCTCCCACATGATTTGATTCATATTATATTTATATTATTTATATTATCTATTTCAGTGCGTAAAGTAATTGGAAAGATTGGGGCTTACTAACAGCACAGGCCAATACTATCAAAGGGGTTTTCACTGTATACACGGTGATCTGTATTCTTGGCTTCAACTTCCAATGATACCAAATGATTCAGTACATTGCTTTAATCTAATGGTTTCAATTTTAAATCATTGATTCTAATTTGAATCATATGTTGATTTGCAAACATATGTTGCTAAGTTTGTGTTTTTGGATGTGAAATGAATTCGCCTTTTTTCCCGGCGACTTTCAAGTTGAGGATTTCTGCTTGGCCGGAAGTATTGTTCACGCGTGGTTGCCACAGGCGTTTCAGGCTGCTTATGCCGACATGGCATTCAAAGAATTCTCTGAAGCTGATGCCACGGCTGATCCTAGACTTGTCGAAAGTCTCAGTTTTCATGCAGTGAATGGGCGAAGACTGAAAAGCTCGAAAGATTTTTTGGCCAACGTGGATTCCCAATGGATTGTCAGGTTATTGGCACTGGCCATGGAACCTACCAGAGTACTGATTTACTATTGGTTGTCATGCCTTGGGGTTAGCTTTCAATTTGGTGAACGACCTGCGTTGTTCAAACTCATTGATCCAAGATGTAGCGTTGTATGTGAAGCCTTGCAACACTACAGTGCTTTGCTCTTGAGCCAGTCTGGGACAGGCCGCTTGGAGCTACTCTGGTCAAGCATTGACTTTGCAAATTACAAGGACTTTTGTGCAATTTTTCCTGAGAGATGCAGAGCCATCCGTCGACTGTTAATGCTTGGGGCTGCATGGGTGTTCAGGCGGCATTTCGTGTACTTCAACAGCGATCATTTGGCATTGATGATGTGTGGTGACAAGGATTCCCATGCAGAAACCCTCAAGACTTTCTTGGGGTTTTGGGAGCACAAGAACCATTGCTGCTTCCCTCCCGGTCTGGCACGAGACTTTAAGCAGTTGGGGCTGCATGCTGGTGACTTGACACATGGAAATTCCAAGAACTTCTTGTACGCGATGGCATCAACACTGCAACTGTCTATAGCCGACGTGGAAGCAATGCATTCACAGAATCGTGCACTGACTGGTGCATCCTTTGCGAGCATTTCTGCCAAGTTCATCAATGCCGAGTCCAAACGTTTGCGTGAAGAAGCAGCAGCGCTTCAGTATGGGAAGGATGGGTTAGGTGACACAGCAGGCAAAGTTGGCCAGAATCAAAGGGGTGGTGGTTTGAAGGTGTCCTTCGCCAAACAAAAAAAAACCACTCCAAAAGGATTGTCAGCTTTGGAGATCTACCGAAAGCATTTTCTGGAAGTGCGGGGTCGGCATGAAACGATCAACCCCTGTTCAAAGGAAATTTGGGATGAGGTGAGGGAGTCATTTTCACAGCTTTCTCCACATGAGAAAAATCTGTATGAATCGATGTCCGAAGACTCAAAGTGTAAGGCAATCCATGCTAGAGCAAAACAGAAACTGGACGCCAAGAATGCTGCGAAGGGTATCCAATCTGCAGGTTCTCAGCCAGAGCCAGCATCAACTGCTTTGGTTCCAGCCAATGGGAATACAATGGTCCAGCATTTGCAAATTCTTCCAGCTCACGAACTCAAT